TCCAGCAGAGGCAACATCGTCATGCTTTAATCACTAAAGTCCATTGAAAGTCGATCATGTGATATCATCTGATCAAAGCCCTTACTGATGGATCCTTTATCAGTTTCATGGCAGCACGTATCAGCTAGAGTGTTCAGCCATTGGCGCTTGGAATGTGCAGCCTTTTTTCCCCAGAAGAAATTGTGTTCTACTTTTTGAAGCCATAAACTTTCTACGTGCTGGCTGATTAATATTTTCTGTACCACGAGTGCCGTGGAGCCACAAGGACCATGACAGCCTCAAATTATTCATCAGTAAGCAGAGTCACGGGACTCTCTTCAGTCGTAATATTCTCATCAGACTTGACTCGAATGGCATTTCAACGAAATACCACATTGAGGATCTCACTTCCAGAAAGACACTTGTAATAAAGATGTATTATTCACGTGGCAAACATTGAGATGCGTCACACTACGCTACATTTTTTTGGGGTGGATTAACAATTTGAAGATTCGCGCCGAGACCGCATTGTGTTGTTGTTACACTTAATAGCCTGCTTAGGTTGGCCGGCGGGCTCGCGCTCATCCATTATGCATATGACCTGCACCTGGGCTGCTTGCTGCACTGACAGTGTGAGATGGTTTAAAATCGCTAATCTCGGTGCATGCGCACGAGACGGAGATTGGGGTGCGTATGTCCTTAGTAACATGAAGGATTAACATATTCTCTATCTTAATGTGTGGACGAGAAAGGAGACGGTGAAGGTTGCTACCGTGTTGAAGTTGGTTGTCATAATGATAGAGATTGAATGAGTGAGAAGCACACAAATCACAATCATTGAAAATGTATCAAATGATGACGGCCGACGCTCATTATAAAGATTTGAAGACTTCATAAATGAATATAGGTTTAAGGTCTTCTAGCCTTCTCTTGGTTAATGCATGCAGCAATTTAGGGATTCATTTTTGGGTCTCGGACGTTTATACTTGCTGGAGCTTGTTTTATTTTCTCTCTAGACACTGCTAATTGGACATTTTATCACTCTCCGCTATAACACAGTTCCAGACAGACTTCTGGGAAAAGTTCACAGTGGCCTAGCACTCAAACATTTATTCTATTAAGTTAACTTGTGGTTAGCATGGCTTTGGCGTCTTCTTCTGTTCTCTCTCCATGCTCCGTATGTCGCATGATTAGCTACCCCTCGCTCGCCTTTAGCGATAACAAGATTTGTCAGAGCTCATTCGCTGCCACTGGGGCCAAAATTTGTGATTTAGAGGAGTGTTTCCTCACCGTGTTTAGTCAGGCTAGCTCGTGACCTACTCTTTGCTTTGAAATATCTTGAACTCTTTTGTTGCTAAAGGCTTTTAAATTACTTGAAGCACATTTATGAGAGAGCGAGAGAGAGAGAGAGAGAGAGAGAGAGAGATTATATAAGAGACAGATATACATGATATACAGTTGTCTTGTCTGGCCTAGCTAGCCAGCCACAGCTAGTAGCCTATGAGGCGCATATTAGCTTAGCCTATAGCATTCCCCGGTAATTCCAGAGCAGCAGGGATGATGGGTAACTGTTTGACATCGTTGCACTTGCGGTCGGAATCTTTATGGTCAATGTACTTGAAGCCATTTTCATGCTGCGAAAGATAAGATGACATCATCAACAAGTGTTGCACACGGTTGTTAGGTAAAGTCTCAATTGATACCGGAGGCCAAATTTGAACCGTCTGCCGCATCTACCACTCAGCCCGACTGTGAGCTGTGAAAGTAAAGTGGACCACGACCTGAACTCGTCGCCAAAGCGTCACAAGTTCATTGACAGGCAACCGCGGCCTTTTGGCAGTCAGCTATGTGAAACCATATTATCAATGACCTTTTTCAAAAGAATGTGGATATTTGACTTGTTTTACTCTGTGCATCGTCTTTCATTTTGCAAACAGAAAAGGCCGGTTATGTATATCTTCTGCTTTGATTTTGTTTGTTTGTTTGTTTGTTTTGTTGTGTTATTTTTCACACAGCGAAGCTTTAGCAATGATAGCCCTTCGTCAAATTTCCAAGTGCTGCGGTGTCCTCGACTTGGGTAGCAAGTGACCCGTCACTCTGCCTTATCTCTAGTCAAACCAAAACAAAGCACAAAAAATTAAAAATAAATCCAATATGCAGCGCTGCTGGGCGTGCTGGCTCGTAAAGCTTTTGAGGGTGAGGAAACCTTTTCTCTTTGCCCGCCTCCTTTGTTCCTCCGAATATCCGGCACACTTGAAAAGCCCCGTGGCTTTAATGAGCCTCGATACTGTGCCACCGGTGACTGTTGGGTGACAGCAACGCAGCTCATGATAATGTGCCGGCCGGGCTCAGTGCCACTGTGCTTCCACTCTTATGGAAATTGGATTGTTTTCATTATCACCCTCTGGAAGTTCTTTTGGTTCTCTCAGCTCTTCCCTCCCTCCCCTCGCTTTTATTCAGCTATGTTCATCGAAATGTGCCTTTGTTTGTTTGTTTGTTTGTTTTTTTCCTTCCAGTCCTTCAAAGGTGAAGGACCTCCGTCACGTATGTCTTTTCCAAGAACAGCTGTTCAAAAGAGGCTGCCCGGAGAGAAAAAAAAAAAAGATGAAATGGAATAAGAGGTCAATCGGTAGTCATATATTTATCCCAGTAGCTTTCAAGATGCGGTGACTTGAAAGGAAGGAGAACATCAATAGGTAAGAGGGCTGCTCTGGGGGGTCTCTCCCAAGGTTTCCATCGCCCAATGAGGAAACGGCCCCTCTTGTCCCGAGCCCCCTTTCTCACTGCGAATCCATTCAGCTCGAAAGGTGCGACAGACGTTCTTTTGAAGACTTCGGGAAACCGCCTCTGTCGATAGCAAACCCGGCATATGGCCGACGGGTGCCTTCATGAAGATTTTAAGCGAGCCACGCTGTAAATAATGAAAGTGACACGCAGAGAGCTTTGCGGCGCCTAATGAAGGCGCCGCAGATGTTCGTTGTTTCATAGTGACGCCGTCAAGACTTGTTGACATGCGCCTGACACAAAATTACATGTAATTTATGTCGCAATATTGTACGGCCCCAAGTGTACTCCATCTTTTCCATCTTGTATCCATGGCGACAGGGTGGCACTTAAGACGGCAATTTTGTACCGCTCGGAGATCCCATATTCTTCTCGGAGCCCAATCACTCGGACACGCCCAGACAAAGTCGTTTCCATCGTCAGATACTCCGCATCGACGGTGCCTTTGTATGTCACGTTGCGGTGTTATTGTCGTTCTCCCAATTTCTACCGCAATTGACGGGATATATTCGAAAATGGTGATCACGCTGGGTTGAAGCAATTAAAAATGCCCTCGTGTAAAACGTGAAATGACCAGACTTCTCATTTCAATGGCAAAATTTCAGATGTATTGCATCAGTCGCGGGGGGAAAGGAGCAACGGAATGAATGAGCCGTTTGACCTTTTCAGTTGTGTCCCCGGGTAGTGAATCTGCTGCAGGGGGCCCGGAAGCTGAGCAGTCGCATGTTGAATTATCACTCCCGCTATTCAAATCCCGCAAAGCCAGTCTTCCACATGCTCCATTCCATCCTCTGATGGCGTCGGACCCCGATGGGAGGAGAATAACAACAAGGCAACAGAGTGCGAGCTTCTTTGGGGGAGCTAAAGGTACAAATAAACAAGCATTTTTGTGGTGCTCTGAGCAAAAATACTTTTTTTTTTCTTTTTTTTTTAAGCCCTTTGTACTTCTTGGGGTTGAAGTGTATCACTTTTTTTTTTATTTCCCTTCAAATGATGTGTCATTCTCAGGGATGATCAAGCTGAAATCTTCGACAGCTACCGGCAGCAAACATGTCAGCACTTTGATGGATACTTGCTATAATGAAAGGCAACTATGATTCTTCGTTCGGCGAAGCTTCCGCTCAAATGCCCCCTTCCCTCGTCGGACCCCGATGGGAGGAGAATAACAACAAGGCAACAGAGTGCGAGCTTCTTTGGGGGAGCTAAAGGTACAAATAAACAAGCATTTTTGTGGTGCTCTGAGCAAAAATACTTTTTTTTTTCTTTTTTTTTTTTTCAGATGTATTGCATCAGTCGCGGGGGGAAAGGAGCAACGGAATGAATGAGCCGTTTGACCTTTTCAGTTGTGTCCCCGGGTAGTGAATCTGCTGCAGGGGGCCCGGAAGCTGAGCAGTCGCATGTTGAATTATCACTCCCGCTATTCAAATCCCGCAAAGCCAGTCTCCCACATGCTCCATTCCATCCTCTGATGGCGTCGGACCCCGATGGGAGGAGAATAACAACAAGGCGATAGAGTGCGAGCTTCTTTGGGAGCTAAAGGTACAAATAAACAAGCGTTTTTGTGGTGCTCTGAGCAAAAATACCTTTTTTTTTTTTTTTTAAAGCCCTTTGTACTTCTTGGGGTTGAAGTGTATCACTTTTTTTTTTATTTCCCTTCAAATGATGTGTCATTCTCAGGGATGATCAAGCTGAAATCTTCGACAGCTACCGGCAGCAAACATGTCAGCACTTTGATGGATACTTGCTATAATGAAAGGCAACTATGATTCTTCATTCGGCGAAGCTTCCGCTCAAGTGCCCCCTTCTTGCCATCAAATGCAATAAGGCGGAGGGATAAAGGCAATTTTGCCAAACCGCCTCATAATCGTTTTCTAAAGTGAAGGACATTGCGTCTTTGTTCGAGTCGCTGTCAGAGACACTTCTGGCGCCGTGGCTCGGTCCTTCGCTTTCAGGGGGCATTTTCAGCAACGCCGACAAATGGTCTCCACCTCCGGGTCACAGACGATCCGACCGCGCGTGCGCTCGGCGGTACATTTCCGCAATCAAGTCGCAGACTCTTAAAATAGTGACCGCGGTGATGAGGTGCCGTCACCTCGCCACAAGCGGTTGCGGGGCAGGCCCGCTCGCCCTCCTCCTCGTGTCTCGCTCGGAACAAGTGACCCACTTTCACTGTCCTCATCTCATACTTCATTCTTTTTGTTTCTCCTTTCCGCCCCGCTCTCCTTTTGTCCATCCAGAGGCCATCTTGTGCGACGTAGGCGAGTTTCACTGTCACGATCGGGAAACCTGCGTCCCCGAGGCCTGGCTCTGTGACGGCGAGCCCGACTGCCCCGATGACTCCGATGAGTCTGACGTGACTTGTAAGTTCATCATTCCATCCAATCCCTCAAGCATGCCACATTTTCATTGAACGCATCATCATGCACGAACCAATTGTGAAAGGTAGCTAGCGATCATCGACTTTCCCGGCACACAATGGCAATTACGGCCTGGAGTCGATTAATCGGCAGCCACGTTTTAGCATTAGCAGCATGGATGTCTCACTGGAATCAACATGGGGCTGGTGCGGCACGGCAAACTAGCAGTGTGTGGTAATATTGGACTATGACTACAAGTCTGTTCTCACTAGCAGCATGGATGTCTCACTGGAATCAACATGGGGGCTGGTGCGGCACGGCAAACGACCAGTGTGTGGAAATATTGGACTCTTAATGCCCCTTGCAAAATATGCAAGTCTGTCCTCAAATAGAACGAAAGCACAGGTGCCGTGAACAAGTTATCTGCTGATGAAAAGCCAAAATCTTCACGTCACCTTTCACAAAATTCCACAAATGCCTTCCCTGGAATGGAGAAAAGAGCGACGATATCCTGTGGTTGAGTCTTAGCCACAGAATTTGAATCGCAGTTGTATGATGTGCTGCCGTTACAAATTAGCCAAGCAACACGGGAAAAATCAATTTTCAGATTGTGAGAGCATCACAGCGCCGCCCGCGAGTACACCTCGCGTGTCTACAACAATACCTCAACCAATGCTATGCTAGGCACAAATCAGTTTGTTATCGGTCCCATGTGACAGCATGAATGCAACGGAAAGGCCATGAAATGAACCTTCACACAAACAAAGCTTGTCTTAATTAGCCGCATGCCAAGAAGAAAGAACAGAGACTCCTGGCGCTCCTCTGTTGTTGCTTTTGCTTGAATTCATTGGCAGGTTGTCACCCCGAAGTGCAAAACAACGCCGATCACGGTTAATCATCCGTTGGTCTCTAACGCCTTGCCCTCATTAGGGTTGTGGGGAGGGCTGGAGCCATCCCCGGCGGAGACAAACAACCATTCACACTCACAGTCGCACACATCCCCATCCTCACATGCTAACACGCTAACCCCAATCGGTGTTGCTAACCATTGCAAAAAAAACGTACCGTGGCAGCCCGACCGCAACTCCTGCTGGGTGTAACTGTGGTTATTGCAGACCGAGAACGGGGCCGCTGTCCTAATGGCCTTTTTAATACTCCTCTTTTCCAGAACACAACTACCGTCCTTAATACGGCACAAGCGGCCAAGTTTTTCAATAGAGCCGATGTTCACTAAAAGCACGAAATGCGGCTGCTCCACATCCAGTCGGTGTGCGCGTTTCCACCCTATGCTTGTCCCCCCCTTCTCCTCGACCCCTGAATTGGCTCCATCAACCGAGCGTAAGCCTCTTATTTCCATTTTGCCAAGAGAAGCATATGATAAGTTTGCACGGCGGCAACGCCCGCCGCTCGCTCCCAATCCATTCATGTGATCAGAGCCGCGAAGCTGTGCCAGACAGACACTTACGAAAAAATATCTGCCGGAGACGCGTCGCACGCGGTCGGCTCTCGAGCACATTTTAATGTCCTGCATGTCTTTCGATGATGTTTCTTTTCTTGCAATATTTTAAATGCCACAAATCCAACTCATCATTTATGCGCTTTGATCAATTATCAAAGTATAATCTTTTTTTTTTCTTCTTTTTTTAATACGATCCTGTCAAGACACAATTTTTCTGAATCAGCAATGTATCCGCAGAAGTTGACCACCCAGTGTAACCGTGATGAATCCCCTTGAGCAGAAAAGTCCGATTATCAAGATGTTTTTGGTGTTTTATTACAGGAACCAAATGAAAGCTCTCTGTTTATGTCAACATGATCTAATTAGAGTCAGCAGCTGTTATCATGTTCACAGCTACTTGGACATTCTCGATTGGATTAACGCAACCGAGGGGAGGCTTGGTGAGGCAGTTTATGCCTCAGTGACTGCTGTGTTAATGCAACGTCACCGCAACTATCGGACCGAAAGGCCACTGGGCCCAATTTGCAAAGATTAAACAACCCTTTTTTCGTGGGTGCGCTGACTGAATTGCGGAAATGCGCTGCACGGGATTTTCTCATCGCTACGCTCAGACAGCGACGGCGCTTATGTTGTTTTCATAAAATGAAAATTGATTGTTATCTGTAGTCGTATTAATTGAAGTGGACTATTCAACGATGGAATGTGACCACCGTGTGGCACTGCGCTCATAATTGTGCTCAATAGTGACATGGCACTTTTGACACACGTAGGAACACTTTTGAAATTGCTTGACAAATGGAAATGAAGTGGAGGCACTCTGCATAAATTGTCGATGCCTTCCATAGGTTTTGGGAAACCTCTTCCGTTTTGTCGTCTCATCTTTATCTCTATGTCACGTCCATTGGGATGGCTCACGCGGTCAAAACCATCAAATCCCGATTTCAACCGCGCTAAAAAAAGGAGCACAGATACGTGTAAATATTGCATGTCACGTCACGTTCGGTGGGTGGCCGGTCTCGTCGTGTTCCTTTGCGACTGCGATTTAGTCCAATATCTTCACCAACCTGTTTTCATCTGAGAAATATGATCCCGCCTCGCTCTGCGCGGTCACTACGGGCTAAATCACTTAATCTCCAGAAGGCCATTAATCATCACATCGATTATTGCAGGACCTGTTTGGTTCCCGGTGCCAGGAGAAAGAACACCTTGCATGTTCATTCAAGAATAGCGCACCGCTCATTAACATGGATTATGTATTGAGAGAAAAGGGGGAATTAGATCAGGCTTTACGCTGCAAACAGGAGGCAGGACCAGAATATATTGCACTTTCCCCAAAGATCGGCTGCGGTATCATGAGAAACTGTGATGTCTTAAAACTAAAAGCAAAGTATGAATTAGTCCTGTGCATGTAGTACACAACGCTTTTGCGAAGGGGGCTTTACTTTTAGAATAAAAAAAATGGTGGTCAGTGATGTCTTTTTTTCCTTTCTGGGTCACAAATAGCTCTTCACTCGCATCTTCGGGGTTTACGAGGGACTCCGATTGGAATACAAGAGGAGGTACCGGTTTCGCCGGTCAGCCGCAGGCCTCCTGGGACCGATTTGTCGCTGACAGTTATTCGAGGGGAGGGGCGGGTGGACCCTCCAGGAATCGCACAAGAAACCTCGGTAACGCGGCAATTCACCCGTGCTGGAGTTCAAGCCTTCACGATGCGCGCAGCGTCACGCCTGTGCCGCTTTCCGCGAGGGCGGCTCAGCATCCGCTGTGGCGATGCCGAAGTGTCAAAAGGGAATTTCGAGGAATGCCAAGGCTGTTATTAGTCGTGTTTTTGACGGAGGCGCTCGGATGATATGTTTTCTGTTTCGATTTCTCTGAAACCTCCAGCGTCTCTCAGACGTGCTTGTATTTATTCTGCACGTTAGCAGACGGTGTCTTAGAAGCGAAATCCTTCCTAAAACCTCCGGGAAAGGATTTTATAGACGTTCGGCTCATGTCAGAAATGCTGCTCTGCGGGGCTTTGTCAGTCTTCCGGACATTTCGACCACTAAATCCTGTCAATTGTCAATGCCAGAGGTAACGAGGATAAAATGGGTCAGTGGCCGACTTCAAATACTCGGTCGAAGAAGCTTTGTTTCACGGCTGCGCCAAGGTTTCTTCCATTCATCGTTTGATTTTCGAGAGGAGGCTACTCTGGTCGGGTTTCTCCCCCTTGCTGCCCGTCATCAAATAACAAGGTTGCGTCTTGCCAAAGAGAGAGTCCATGCTCAGCGTGCCGGACTTTGAGATGAAACCATTGTGGCATTGTGGGGGAGCTTTTTTGTTTCGATAATAGTGCCGCCTGACTCTTTCTTCCGCAAGGTTATTACACCGGCCGGGCAGATGCTTTGATGATTCGGATCGTGTTCTTCCTATTCACCGAATCTTTTCACACAATCTCCATTCAAATAAGACGAATCGACACATCGCGTGCGATCGGGCGCTTTGCGTTGTTCTTTTCATCATTCGGCGGCCGCTTGATTTGCATCGTCATCGTCATCACGGCTTGCCTTACGCCGTCGAGGATTTGTGGCCACGGCTTACTTGCTTGAAGTCTCCTCAAGTAAAGGAAATCGCCCCTAATGGGGCGTTATTGTCCGACCAAAATTTTCAGATTGTGTGCCCGCACATTCAGGTGCGACAAAATCCACTTGAGCAAGTGTAATTTTCAAATTGAGAAGACATTTTCGAGTGATGGCTTATCGGAACAAAACACGCCGTCCTCACAAAGCAGAAGCAAAGTCACTCAGGTAAAATGCGGCCTCGAAACATCCCAGTGGCTATTTTATGTGGGAACTCCCATCGTGAAAGTCATGTATCTCACTTGTGGCTGGTTGCCATGGGAATTGGCACGAGTCGGATGGCGCTTTAGTCATTAATGTAGCGTAGAACCTTGTCATTAAGTTGAAGGGCAGGGCCTTTTGCATCCTGTCGCATTGCAATCCGCCTGAGGTACAAGCCTTCTGTTGACTCGTGAAATGCTGCAAATATGCCATCACTGCAAACAAGTCAAGGTTAGATGCCTCTCATGCATTTGTTCACGGAGCAGTCTCTTCATGTTGACCGAGAATCGTCACATTTGCATGTTTCTGCTTTTGCGCAACCGCGTTTCATGAATTGAACCGTGATCAGAGTTCGTGATCTTACATGTTGCCACCACATCACACCATCACGAAGAAAAAAAAAATCATTTCAAATGTTAATTGGATGCCATGTCTGGTGAACGGCTTCATGCGATTTTGAGATCAAAAGCGGCGAGGTGTATTGAAACGTCTGAGCGCTACCTACCGTGTTGTAATGTTTTGTTTCTACCGACATTAAATGTATTTGAAAGAAAGTGACGAAGGTGTTCAAAGACTGAGAGCAATTTAATCAGGAATTGTTGAAAAACAGCATCGAAGTCTTTGATCTCAGTTGTCAGATTTTTTTGGGGGGGTTGGGGGGGCGTGGCTAAAATGGGCAACCCAGTGACTTGGAGCCCTGGCGTGCGTCAGCCCTCCCCCAAGTA